CTAAAAAAAACTTTTGTTTCAAGTACTTTCATTTTCCTCACTGACCCGGTACCAATGAAGAACAAGCGTAGAGGGGATTTTGCCTCAGGCAATAATCCGCAGCCTGAATTTTCGGACAAAGGAACGCAAAGCTTGATGAAAGATCTAACTGGAGAGATATACCTGTTAAGTGGGGTGGGGGTGGGGCACAGGCATCCTAACGCAAACTTAGGAAAGAGAAATCTCCCTTTGCAAAAGCAAAACCCTGTAAAGGGAACTGAAGGTTGCTAGCGCACCCGAAAGGCGTTCTGGGAAATGTAGTATAAATGCAGAGTTAAAACAGTTCCTTATACTGTCTAATAGCTGCACAAGGAGTTTTTGCTAAGAGTTTTACAGCAGTTCAATACAGTAATTTCACCTGAAGGGAGGCTTTTTGGTAGAGCAAACCAAAAGTTCTGCTGTAACAGAAATGCTTGTCTGAATTAAAGCACTTAGGGGAGCTGTTATGAATTTGGGTAAAGGAACAGCCTCTAGTTAGAAACCATTTGCTGCTGAGTGCATCTCTGCCAGTTCTGGAATGGCCGAGAGAGCTTGGGAGGGGAAGGTAACTTTGGAGTGTGGCTTTGTCCTGAGAATGTTACAGCTCTCTAGCAACAAGTGTTATAACCCCATAGTGACAGTACTCACTAAAATCCCAGGGTTGAGAGAGCCATTGCCAAATTAGACTCTTGTTTCAAACTCTCAAGAACTTTTAGAGTAATATCAAAGCTGACTATAAACTCTGAACTTTACTATAAAGTCTGAACATTAGAAATGATTTGTGTGCTTCTGGTCTTGTTAATAATTTAGCTAAAAATCTTTTCTAGGAGTTAAGAAATACCTTATACATGTTTGCTTTAGTGTTATGTTAAGTTAGTTCTGCTATATATAAAGTGATAATAGTTAAGAGATTTCTTCTAGATGTTAAAGTTTATAAAGTAGACCTATAGAATGTAAGTAAGACTTAGGTAAGGTTTATAGAATGTTAAGTTTATTATGTAGGCTTGAATAAGACTTGGGTAAGGTTTATATAGCTGTCCTATAGAATGTAGGTCAGAGATTTAGTCAGAAAAATGTAGGTTTAGAATATATAGGCTTTAGGTCTAAGGATATGATGAAGGTTTAATAAAAAAAGTCATTTAGAGTAGAATAGGAACCTGAGATGCAGAAAGTAGTATCCCTAGCAGACTTGGCAGTTCCAAAAGCCACCAATAACAACAAGAAGCAGTTCTAGAGACTGCCAAATTCAGAAAGTAGCAGCCAGGTGTCCACTGCTGAGACCCATGGAACATCATAGCTTCCCAAGCAGCAGACACCAAGACCCGGAGAAAGCAGACCAGCACTAGTGGCAAAGGTCTGCACACTTTCAGCTGTAAAGAAGCCATGGTTAGAAGTGGACACACTAAGCCATGAGAAAGGCAAACGGTAGGTAGCAGCTTGGAAAGCCCAGCAGTGATGACACGTCATGGGAAAAGTGAACAGTGAGCAGAGCAGCAGTGAACAGTAGAGACGGCAGAGACCAGCCTGGCCTTCTCCAGGACTGGAGAAGCGGTGTCAGTGCTGGATGAGCAGCTAAGACACATCCAGACTGGGGATCTGTGGCAGGGACCTGGTTTGTTGAGCACTTAGACCATCAGTGAAGCAGGTAATAGGGACCCTCCCAAAGCAGGAGTTTCTGTGGGAAGGCCACAGTTTAGTTCATGGCAGCTGAAGGAGCCTTGAGCCCGTGTGGCTGTGAGGTGAGGTTCTCTAGCCTAGTTGGGGAGTGGCCAGGCTACAGAAGGCTATAGACTGCAAAACGCAGAGGCAGCTGAGAGCGAAAGTTTCAGAGAGACTTGCTTGAACTAAAAAGTTTTGGTTATGGGACTTTCTTGTATTTGGAGCTGTTTGTTTCAGAGTCATTATGACTCTGACAGTGATACACAGACTATGGGCAGCTGAAAAGCTAGGCCCTGATTTTGAGTGCTCAGAGGAAATTTTAGGAATGGTACTAGAACTCTTTTTAAACTTTTGAACTTAAGAAATGAAATGGACAGCAATAATTTCATTACAATGGGACACACACACCACATGTATCCACATACTATGCCCACACTTGCCATACCTACCCACTCTCATATGAAGATTTAATGGATAGAAGATAATCCAGATATATGACTTCTGAAATCAGTTTTAGTAAATTATAGATTCTAGGAATTTTTTCTTTTCATATAAGCTTTCAAAAGTATTAATATAAGGTTGGTTGCATTTGGATACTTTCTATAATTCTGTAGTATTTACAAGTTGAAAGTTCTGTGAGATAGAGATTGGTAACTTTAATCTTTGTTGTATATCTAGAACTCAGGAAAATCATTGGCTCAAAAACTTCTGGAGAATGAACCAATGAATCTGAGTTTACTCCAGCTATCCAATGCCTCGTGGGTTTTCTTTTTTGTGTCTGACAAGTACTGGAAGACTGCTGTTGATTTTATTGGCCCTGTCCAAACAAGGAATTTCTGACTTTATTAAACAATTTGTTAACCAGTTTCTGCTCTTATGTTCTTTATGTCTTGCATTTTATTTCCTTTTGATTTATCCTCATGTTCACTGTATATCATCACAGGCTGTAAGCTTGGTATATTAATTTTCAGACTTTCTTGGTTTCTCCCATATGCTTAGTTATTCCCCTACTTTTGGACACAGATTGTTTTCAATTTCATTTAGTTCCTAAGTAGTTCTCAGTTTCAATTACAAATACCATTTAGAACCATAAGGAATGTAGAAGAGAGTTCTCAATTTTAATCAATTAGATGCCTTTCATCTTATTTTTAAAGGCTTCTAATTGAAGTATTTTGTTGCATTATGATAAAATATCATTTTCTTAAAATATACTAAGTGTTGTTTTATGGGTTAGTACATGGTTACATCATGGTAAGTGTTGAGTGTAAAGTTGATAAGGACATATATTCTGTCTACACAAGCCTCTTTATTTACCCAATAAATCAAGTATGTCAACTGTCATTTGAATCTTCAGTATTTTTATTATTTTTTAATTGTTTTCATGCTTGAAAATGGGACATTAAAGCATTCCACTAAGATAGTAGGCTTGTCCTTTTATTTCTCTAAAGTTTTAATGAGCTTGATGTGCACACATACAAATAAAAATTAAAATACATATGCAATTGTAAATATACTTACGTTCTTTACACTTATACATTTAAAAACACATATGCTGCTCCACAAGATACATACAGATTTGGGATGCTTGTACCTTCCTGGCAAGTTTGATATTTTTAGTTGGGCCCATCTCTCTTTCTCTAATGCTTTATCTAGTATCAGTACAGTTAGTATAGCTTCTTTTGGGTACTTTTTTTTTTTTTTTTTTTTTTTTTGGTTTTTCGAGACAAGGTTTCTCTGTGTAGCTTTGCGCCTTTCCTGGAACTCACTTGTTAGCCCAGGCTGGCCTCGAACTCACAGAGATCTGCCTGCCTCTGCCTCCCGAGTGCTGGGATTAAAGGCGTGTGCCACCACTGCCCGGCTTACTTTTATGATAATATTTTTGCTTATTGTTATTGTCAACCCTTTAGCTTTACATTAGATAGGCCTATCTCGTGTAAAGAGCAGATGCTGCATATAATTTTCTCTTGAATCTGGCAAACTATTTCATTACCAATTCCTCATTTAGATTTAACATTACAGGCAAATAGATATTATTGAGCCTGTATGTTATTATATTATATTATATTATATTATATTATATTATATTATATTATATTATATTATATTATATTATATTAATATTAAATATTAGATATTATTACATATACCCTTAATGAATTCAAATCACTTGGTTATTTGTGTGTGTGTATATACAAGTATGTATGTGAAAAAAAAAACATAGGCATGGTGATATGTGCCTGTAATCCCAGTACTGGGAGGTAGAGACAGGAAGATTCTGGCTAGCCATCCAGCCAATTAGTGAGTTACAGGTTCAGTATGTGGCCTACCTCAAAAAATAAGGTAGAAAATGTTGGAGGAAAGCAAGGTTTGAGATACTTTTTCTTTTGGCCATGTTGGACAGTGAGTCATTAGCAACAAGAAGTCAGGGCTTCCATCCGTACACTAGGGCTTCCCCTTCCACCTCTGCCTTGCTCTGAGAACATATCAGCTTAACTTGATGACATCATACTGGGAACCCTGGAGGACATCTGAGGTATCCTAGGCATCACCCTTCTGAACTGAAGCTAATCACAGTACTTGGTTAAGTCAGGGAAAATGAGTGAACCCCCATCCAATGTATAGACTCATAGGCTAAATACATAGGTACTAAGTATAACCGCAATTAGAATATTTTGTTTTGTGACATTATGTACAGCACTAGCCAATATATCCTGCCCTGTTGTCTTAAAGTGAGGCCTGCTTTAGTAGTTGGTACTAAGAAAGTCACAATGAAAGCTTTTATGCCCCTGTCCCATTTTCTGGAGGAGAATGAGACATTTGTGCTTGCTTTCTTTACCCTGACACTCCTACACCTGTTATGGCTCCTCCAGTATTTATTTATACCAGTTTCCTTTCACATTTCTCTGCCCTTTATTACAAATGTGCCCTGGAAGCAGGAAGTGATTCACATCCCATCTATAGCACCATCTATAGGACCTCTCTGCAAATGTTTTTGCTTGAGTTAAATAAATGGATTTTGGGATTTGGAATGAACCAAAACAGCTGGCAGCATATGGAAAGTGGAAAAATCATACAAGCTGGTTCTTTACTCTGGGGACTTCTATGCTTTCCAGGAATCCCAAATAGGAGTGTGAAAGAAAAGAGCCAACAGAGAGGAAAATCATGTTCATTCTGTTCTCCTGGGACCTTACATTTTCCACCACATGCCCACAGGCTTACAGAAAACTGTTTCCTGCCAATCCCTACGCCCAGCTTCCCTATGTTCATGATAGGATGATGTTGAAGGTATGAACCACATTCCACCATGGCACTTCTTGACCCACCTTTAAATCAGACACATCTCTGTAGCACTGCTCAGAGCGAGTGTGGTCTGATAGCTGTACATTCCAGAAGCAGGGGAGCTGATACACCAGGAAAGGGTTTTGTTTGATGACAGCATTGAAAATATCCTGTGGAATAAAAGCCAAGGACATAGTCAAGTGAGTGGGCAGGTTTAGCTTACAGGAGGACATCTCTCAAACATCCTGCTCTGGGCATAGTACTGCTCTCATTGTGAAGAGTTTTCCTGACTGCTTTCTACAGGAACCAAGGGGTAATATCTGGACAGACACAAGGGAATGTCATAGACCAACATGATTGACTCAGTGCTTATGAGTCCAGCTGGCTATCATCCAGCAAGGTCACACAGGGCAGATAGGGAAAGACTTTCCCATGCTGGCTATCATAAAATAAATCAACTCCGCGGGGCGGTGGTGGCGCACGCCTTTAATCCCAGCACTCGGGAGGCAGAGGCAGGTGGATCTTTGTGAGTTCGAGGCCAGCCTGGTCTACAGAGCGAGATCCAGGAAAGGCACAAAGCTACACAAAGAAACCCTGTCTCGAAAAATCAAAAAAAAAAAAAAAAAAAAAAAAAATCAACTCCCTTTTCCGCCCCTTGTCCCATCCTAAGTGGGAGCCCTGTGCTATCCTGAGTCTTCTAGAGAGGAAACAATGTAATTACATGTGGCTCAACTTATCCAGAGGGTTGAGACAAACTACAGATCCTCATTTCTAGTACCTCTTTCTTAGGGCTTTAGGTTGTCCTGGTGATGAATGCTCCTTGGATTTCTGCAGGCCATAGCACCCAGAGTGCAACTCCCTATTTTAAACTCCTACTCCAACTTGTCTAGGAAGGATTTTTTTTTTTTTAACCATGTTTGAGCTCCCTCCAAACCTAATATGTAGCCCCACTCATTAGCCAGCTACTTGACAGGTGGTGCTGGGAGGTGAATTATGGGCCTTTATGGCATAAGATGGCTGAATAAACTATCCTCACTGGACACAGATATACAATTGTTAGCTTTGGGGGGATACACTCAGGTCACTGTTACATGACTTGAAATATGAGGACAGCAGACAACTTTCCTCTCAGGTCTTAGACAGCACCTGCATTGTTTTATTTTAATTTTTCACTCACTCATTATGCTGTATCTCATTGCTTAGGAAGGGAGATCAGTTTTTGGCTCCTTGGGAAATACTGAATAATAATGGTTAAATATTATATAATGGTTAAAAATATATATAAATAATGGTTAAATAATAATAATGGTTAAAAAAGAGAGAGAAAGAAAAACAGTTATATAACCTTGCAGATTTTCTTTGTTGAAATTTGACAAAGGAATCATGAGGCATGAACTCAGGATGGAAAGGAAAGGAAGAAATGAAGAAAACCCAGAGAGAGTATCTTCACACCTCAAGATGGACAACAACATCACAAGAAGGTAAAATCTAAGTAAGTGATCCTGAATTGAAGTCAAACAGACCCCATGCCTTTCCCAGTCAAAATGATACACGTGTTTTTAACAAATATTAATCATTTTTTTGGAGCTGGAGGTCCTTCTCAGACTATCTGCTTAAGGTCTGTTTTTCCTGCTTAAATGCAACTGCCTTGATTTGAGGGCTACTAGGATTAGGATCACAGTAATGGTTTTAGGTTACACATTACATGCTGCTTTTCAGATGTATGTGAAATATTTTGGAAATAACCATGGCATTTTGGGACCATAGGGAGCAGGTACATTCCACAATGATGGTAAAGATGGTACTCATGCCTCACTTGTGAGTCTGATTCCATAAAGAATGAACTTTGTGAGGTGAAGAACCTGGGTCCTACCACTGGAGACATGGCTCAGTGGTTAAGAGCACTGGCTATTGTTCCAGAGAAGCCAGGTTTGATTCCCAGCAACCTATGGAGGTTCACAAGCACTGTAAACTTCAGTTAGAGGATCTGACACCCTCTTCTGGCCTGCATGGGTGCCAGACAGACATGAGGTCCAGAGACATACATGCAGGAAAAATATAATTACACATAAAGTAAATAAAGAAAATAATCAGGTCCTTTACTTACCTGTCATCTTCATACATGTCCTAGTATACAATGTCCAGTGAATATTTTTTGACTGAGTGTATAAAAGAACCAATGAATTGAGACTCATTCAATTATTAACAGGAGTCTTTGAAAAACAGATCAGGTCTGCTGTAGTTTGGGGTCTGGGATATTCTCCCAAAGGTCCATGTGCTAAACTACTGGTTCTAAGCGCTGGATTATCACTGGAGGTCTTTAAACCTTTGATAGGTCGGATTTAGTGGAAAGTTTTAAGGTCACTGGAAGAACACATGTGAGGGGGATTGTGGGGACCCAGTGTCTTCTTTGATGTCCTTATTGTGAGGCGAACAGATATGATCCTCCATGTACTCACCAGTTTTATGGTTTTAGACCAAGAGCAATATGGTCAACCAACTATGGGTTAAGCCTACTAAACTGTGATCTAAAATGAACCTCATAATCCAGGCATGGTGGCACATACATGTACATCCCAGAACTTGGGAAACAAACAGGAGACTTGCTAGTTCAAGGCAGCCTAGAGTAAGTATATCCTGAGAATTTTTTTGAGAAAAAAAAACAATGAACTAAACCAAATTGTAACAAAAACATCTTACTCAGTTTTACTATAGTAACAACACAGTATGCACTAACAGGAGGGTACTCAGGTGTAAGGATCCCTGTCACTGGCCACTCACCTGGTCAGCTAAGGAGGTAGACAGCATGCCCATGAGTTCCCTCTCAGCTGTCAGCCTCCACATCTGTTCCCATTTCATCTTGCGCAGCTTATCCAGAAGCAGTAGTATCACTCCTGGGCAACAACATAGGATAGAAGAAGACGAGCAACCAACAGTGAGATGTCACTAGACATATCAGCCACTTTGAGACAGCCTATTTACCTGCAAGGATGATTTTTCCCTCCCAAATCTCAGGCAGCCAGCCTTCATCATACAGGGTGAATGGTCTGTAGATGAAGAGTCATGGCCTCAGCACCAGGCTATGCCAAATACTGATCAAGTGTAAAACTAAATCACATCTTTGAAACATACTCACTATATACGAAAGAGTATTAAAGTAAGTAGGTACCTACCTTAATTCCTAGTACTTTCTGGAGTTATTTTGTGGTGACAGTTGTACTATTGGGTTAAAATAATAAATTTCTATTATTTATGTACTATTTATAAACTATTATCACAGTAATAATAAGAGATTGTGCTGTGAACTTGATGTGCAGTATATATCTCATAAATACTAGTTTCTCTTCTGTGTTTTCTCTGGAGACATGACAACCTTAGTATGACTGACAACCTTAGTATCACTTGCACAATACACACCATTTGCTTTTTTGCTTTTTTTTCAGGAAAAAAGTACAATGCCTTCTCTACAACTTTACTCTGATTACATGTTTCAGTTTTAGTTATTTAAATTTTTTTGTGTTTGAATGTTTGCCTGCATGTGTGTACATGTGCATTTGGTACCCACAGAGACCAGAAGAGGGTGCCTGATTCTCTGAAATTTGAATTACAGTAGGTTGTGAGCTGCTGTGTGGGTGCTGTGAATAAACTCAAGTCCTGTTCAAGAGCAAGTGCTTTTAACCTCTGAGTCAACATTCCAACCTTTATTATCTAACAGTACTGACCAGCCACACACCCTGGCCTTGGTGTTCCTGATTTCAGAACAGCTTTCCTTGGCTCAGTGATAATCAACATGTGTGTCAATCAATGGGAAGGCAGTTCTTATGCTAGGTCTTTAACACAAATGTTAAAGCTTTGTGTTTATAAGAAATTATTAACAAGAGCCTATTGTTTCTTTCTCATCACCTCTTTATGGTGAATTTTTATAGGGCTGGACTTGAAGCAAATGGAGTAGGTGTAGAGAAATTTTCTACTGAATACACTCTTGTCTTTGGAAAAAGGGGAAACAATTAAATGTAGTATTAAGGCCAGAAAACTCAAATAAAGTCTAACAAGGAATGTGTATTTTGGCTTAGCTGAGTGAATTGAAGGCAGTTATCTACCAACAATTTAGTCCAAGTGGGCAGAAAAAGCCAAATTTGGAACAAGAGGCCATGTGGCCAAGGTGGTGAAGGGAACTGCTACACATTTGGGTCCCCAAAGCAATTCCAATCATGATGATTAACTCAGAAGGGCCACTGTCCAGGCTGCTAAACATATTGGTTGATACCTACACACATATCTCTAAGATTCCCAGAAGGAAACTGAGTTCCTCCTCCCTGGCAGACATACATATTGACTCTAATAATTTTTACTTATTCTAGTGGTACATGTTTGGAGAAAACCACTATTGACAGAAAGTTTTAGGCAGAGAAAATTTGAAAAAAATGGTAAGAATAGAGTGACACAGAGATATATATTTATGAGTTACAAGGTGAACTGATTACCTATATCCTTCATGCATATTGGCTTTTTTAAAATACCATATGCCTCAATGCTCCAAGATCTTTTAAAGACAAAAATCATTCTTATTTTGCTAGAGGGGAAACTGAGAGGCTACTCAGGCACCTGCCTAATTTAGAGTTGAAAAAACAGGTAGACCACTGTGGGTGTGCCTTACTCCAAAGCCAATGCTTCTTCACTATTCCACACAGACCTGAGCCCCAGAGCCATTTGAAGCCATGGGATGACTTCTCCTCCTCCTTTTTTTTTTTTTTTTTTTTATTTAGTTTCTACATAGGTAAAAATTAGGAAAATACTACTTGCCTCACCAACACTTAAAAAACTGATGCGTCTTCTTGTGGTAGCCTGATAACGTTAGCACACAGCTATCCCAAGAAGACTGGTAGTGCTTGCCAGTTTACAGTGTAGATACTCTTAGCTTGGGGCATTTGGGTAATGTGGTATCATTGACATGGGAAGAAAATCAGATGATTGGCGCCCCACCCCCACACACCAGAGGATGCCAGCCAGTTCCACTACACCATAGAAATTGTTCCCTAAACAAAGAGATATTTTAAGAAAGAGTAAAATTCTCTCTCTCTCTCTCTCTCTCTCTCTCTCTCTCTCTCTCTCTCTCTCTCTCTCTCTCTCTCACACACACACACACACACACACACA